ATTAAAATTATAAATTTTTCCTCATGCTTATGATTTTGATGCTTTGATCCACATAAAAAAAGTTACGAAGAATTAATTTTCACATATCAATTTTTTTCTATCCCAATGAAAAAGGGAGGAAAAAAAAAACACAAGTTATAGTTTTTAACATATTTGTCAATCCCTTTGCCACGTACATGTCAATATATTGTTTAATGAAGAGATAAAGGAATATACAAAATCCAATGAGTTTGGGGGTGGTTACGAGGTTTTGAATTAGTACGAAGTTAGTGCATTTGTCCATCTTCAAGGTGGTACCAAGCAGCGGAAAACAAGTTTTAACTTTTTTTTTTTTTTTAATGCATAAATTGTTCATGAGGATAGATTAGTCCAATTTATTATATTGTAAAGTTAAAAAAAAATCTCCTAAATGGTTAAAGAGTAATTTGGTCAATTTCTCATGTAAAGGGGTGTCTTTGTCTAATTTTGAACTTTTAAGGGGTGTCTTTGTCCAAAAAACAGATAAGTTTTTTCTAAGTGTTCTTTTACCAAATTTCAGGAAACGTGGCTATACTTTACCCTTAATTTTTTATTTTTATTTTTTTTTTATCTAATAGTCATGCATGATGTCCAAGCTGGGATTGTAAGAAATTTGAGAGGTAAAATTTTAAAGTGAGGCTCCTGAATTGTACTTACACATGCCATGCGCCTGTCCTTGTGGTGTTCATAAATCACCACTTGAATCCCATCTGAGCACGTGTAGCACGGAAGTAATGGAATTAAGGGAGTTGCAGCGAGGGACCCCTGGTGAGTTAATTGAATTGTTACCCTACAATCTTCCCATAGTGGAAGAGATCCAGAATTCCACTACTTCTGGGGTGTTTGCCCAACCAATTCCATCCACCATTCCATTTCTGGTTGCTTGTTTCCCTAAATTTTTTTTTAAAAATCAGTCTATTTATTCAAAGATTATTTTATTTTATTTTTTAGTTGATATATAGCATATATCGGCAATACATATTTGTACAATAGAACTCTATTTAATTTTTTAAAATATAAGAAATAACCCTTGATAGTGAAAATTTTGGAGAGTGACGGATTGCTTTTGAAGTATAATTTTGTTTTTTTTTTTTCCTTTTCTTTTTTAAGAAAAAAACAAGTACTCAATTACAAGTATATAAAACAAAGTGTGACAAACATTTCCTATTCAAATTTATCTTCTTTGCATTATAAGTATTAGTACTAGGGGAAATTAGTATTCATAATAATTACTAGTTCAATAATTATAATAATTGTTAGTGTATATATTAGAATTAGAATAAGTAGTACGGCAGAAAGGAATCTTGTGAGTATATGCAGCGAGATCTTTTGGGGTGTGTAAAAACATCAAATCAAGAAGGATGCGGACAGCAATAAAACTACAACAATGAAGACTTTTTTGATAATAAAACACGTACAAGAAAAAAAGTGACTCATTTCCACCTACCTAAATAAGAGGACGCAATTACTTCCAATTTTTTCACGTTATAAGGCTGTATCTTATTTCTACAAACCATTAAACTGATTAGACCCATATACAGGGAAATCAAAATAATTATAGTAGGGTTTCCATCGCAATTTAATCATTTCTATTATTAAAATTATAAGATGAACCCAATATATATATATATATATATGTTCTTTAGCATTACCACGGATAAATCGGTGGTAATGCTATTTATTTTGATGATGTTTGGAAAGTAATTTATTTTCATGGGCTATCTAAGATGGGTGAAGTTCAAATTTTTGTGTGTACATTCTCTAGGGCTGTGTTACACAAAGCTCCAAACGAATAGTGGGTTAGTGGACCACAATAGGTATTGAGCTTGACTAAGAAACGCATTCGATGGCACAATGGTTTGTCATCTAATGTTTACCGTACTAGGCCCAGATTTTATGTCCAAAGACAACTTGCATTTGGTGGCATTTACAAAAAAGTGGAAGAATTGATTAATCCTCAGAAATTTCGAATTTTAAGTCTTGGTGAATTTGACTGAAATTTACTAGTAGTTTGTACTTAGTAGATACCTTTAAACTTTTAACTTATATGATTTGGTTGGTCACACATTTGACCATGTGAGAAGAAAAGTGGAAGGATTTACATAATATACATATGAATCAAGTATAGTAGTTTAAGTACTTTGTGGGAGCGAATGAAATGTATGGTTATTCTTTTGACATGAACAAAAAAATAGTATGGATAATTTTTTGCTTTTCTTTCTCTCCACTCCTGTCCTTACTAATCTCCTAGAGAACCAACATTATTATAAAGGAATTATGGTGGGGTTTATAGAGTCTCTACACGTTATAGCCATATGTACCTATGCATGTACAACACGGGATGTGCCTGTTGCACAATGCACCGAGCACATCGAATACTTGCTCTTATGACTGGGCGCTTACCATCTGATCCAAAAAATTTTAACTCCTCCTTACGCAAAGCCCAAAATCCTTGCCATCTAGATCCAATAATGTTTTGCTGCCTATGCAAAACCCAAGATCCTTCTCATTTAGTTTTGATATCGTTTTGCAATTGCTTACACAAAATCTAAAATCCTTCTCATCTAGATCCGATAACGTTTTGCTGCTTACGCAAAACCCAAGATCCTTCCCAGTTAGATCCAATGTTGTTTTGTTGCTGCTTACGTACAGCCCAAAATCCTTTCCATCTAGATCTGATAACGTTTTGCTGCTTACGCAAAACCCAAGATCCTTTCCATTCAGATTCGATAACGTTTTGCAGCTGCTTACTCAAAGCCCAAAATGGTTCACATCTAGATCCAATATCATCTTGCCGTTGCTTACGCAAAGCCCAAAATCCTTCCCATTTAGATTCAATATGAAACAAGAACCCATAATGGCTAGCCACAAGACGGGTTGGATCGAACTTGAACAATTTAAAAAAGAGATGTCGGCCTAGGTCCATCTAGTTAAAAATATTAGAAGACCTCGTGCTCACACCCGACATTAATTGATAAACTATGAGAAGCTATATATTTTTTGCTTGATAGCCCAAGTGGATTTTTAGTCGAGTCGGTAAGGCTGGGCTCCTCCTCTAAACAAACTTTCCATGGCAGGCCTGAAAATACATTGGGCAGAAATTGGGTCAGCCAAGGCCCTATGATCCAATTTGCCGAAGACAGGACTGGGCCACCCCTGGTTTTTCACTCATTAGAACAACTGGAGAACACCCCAAATATGTTGATTGTGTGTTTGTGTGTGTAAAGGAGAGAATAATTTAAAAGAGCCTACCAACTAGCCATTAGTCATACAGTATATGATTCCACCAAAAAACGAAGATAGCCTTACTCTAATTAAGAGATCATAAAGCATCTTTTCTCACTTATTTTCGCTTTCATTCCACGATTCCAATAAAGTCCAGCCAGCAATATCATGTTGTCTCTAACTTTATGCAATTTTGTACCCTTAAAAGTGGCATCTTAATAAATTGATTAATGGCTAGTTGGTATGGCCTTTTCTTTGCTTTCATTACACGTTAAATCAAGATAGGGCACCTTTGCAATGTGTTTTTTTCCTTGGTTAATATTATTATATTAGAAAGAATACTTTTAGGGCTTGGTACCCCTTTGATGTGGGACACCAGCAAAATAAAAAGCAAGATAGGGCACCTTTCCAATGTTTTTTTTCCTTCCTTTTTTAAGCAAAGCAGTGGTAAAAGGTAAGTGTTTGCAGGGCACCATCTATTTATGCACTTTCGTAAATTTGAAAGTGTCAAGTTTCGACATCTAACATCCAATATTTCTTAACTTAAATTTTTTTTTTATACACTAAGTACTTCCTTTCTTTTATTAACACCACCTTTAATTCTGGCCTGTACGTCTAAATAAACATGGTTAAAATTTTAACTTCGAATACTTTGTTAGTCATTTTATTGAGTTAAAAAAAAAAACCTTTCAGACGGAATTTACTCTCTTTCTAAATGATGCTTTTTTGAACTTTGAAGTATGAAAATAAAAAAGTAAATAGAAGGAATTCGTTACCATTTTATGGTGGAAAATAATTATTAGGCGGAAGTGTTAACTCAATTGTTGAACTGAAAAATAACAAAATCAGTGATGATCTCAAATGGTTTCTTATTGATGACGGCTTGGTTCAACTGATTGGGCTAGGCTTATATCCTCATCCATAATATAAAGGGTAAATTACACTGACCTCTTTTGAGGTTCAATAACACCCTTGTCATTAATAAAAATTCAACAAATGATTAAGTTGTTATTTTATTGTAATTAAAACCTCAATAATCTTATATTTTGACATGAAATTACAACAATACTATGAAATATCATTGAAATGTAAAATATCAATTTTTATATCAATTTTATATTATTAAATTTTACCAAAAATATATTTTTTATTTTCTTGTTAATGATGTTTGATTGGTTTCTTTTTAGGATTTGTTTAGTTTTTTATTTTAAAAAATAAAAATAAAAAGATAATATAATATTTACAAGATGAAAAAAAAGTAAAATAATATAGTGTTCACCAATACGTCTTTGGTGTAATGGTATTAACCTCTCCATATTTTCAAAGTGAGTTATAGAGTTTTTGGTTTGACACTATTTGACATACCTATTTTTATTAAATTATATAAAGATAAGGAAGACATTTCACACTTTTAAAAAATTAAAATAATAAAATCAATGTAATTTAAATTTGACCCGGTCCCCACAAATATGACTCCTTGTGACGTTGCATTTCTGGCGAGAATTGTCCAAAATCCTATTTTAAACCGTTAAGATCTTCAGAAGAGGCAAAAAATGATTGATCATCGGAAACTGGCTGATCAAAATCATCACATGGTGGCCCCCACTTTTACACCCTATCCCACACCCCAAATTGGACTCGTGTCATCCACTTCTCTAAACACATAGGTCAAAACGGGCTCACATAAAGACCCCACTGTTTTTGACTTCAGTGAACTTCGTATCCTAACGTAAACTGGTTTTCATCAGCGATAGGATCTAACGGCCCATATTCACCACTTTAATGCCTTTAAAACCCTTCACTCACTGATCGCAGTCTCTTCAGTGTCTGTCTGAAACTATGGAAGCTTCCAAGTTTATTATCCTCCTTTTAGCTTCTATCATCATATACACCGCCACTCTTGCACGTGCTGACCTCCCCGGCACGTGGGAACTCCTGGTCGCCAACGCCGGCATAGCCTCCATGCATACCGCCGTCACACGCTTCAACACCGTCGTCCTCCTCGACCGCACTAACATCGGCCCATCTCGCAAAATGCTCCGGAAAGGCCACTGCCGCAATGACAAATACGACGCCGTACTCAAGCGCGATTGCTACGCCCACTCTGTCATCTTGGACCTCCAGACCAACCAAATCCGACCGTTGATGATCCTCACCGACACCTGGTGCTCTTCCGGTCAGTTCCTCCCCGACGGCACCCTCCTACAGACCGGCGGCGACCTCGACGGCGTCAAGAAATTCCGTAAATTCGTGCCTTGTGAATCCACTGCGCTCTGCGACTGGATTGAACTTCAAGATGTCGAATTGGCCGACGGCCGATGGTACGCCACCAACCAGATACTACCGGACGGTTCGGTGATCATTGTCGGTGGCCGAGCTGCTAACAGTGTGGAGTTCTTTCCGCCGAGGCAAGGTGGTGCCGTACATTTTCCGTTTCTTGCTGAGGTGGAGGACAACCAAATGGACAACCTCTACCCTTACGTTCACCTCCTTCCCAACGGTAACTTATTCGTCTTTGCAAACAGCAAAGCCGTATTGTATGATTACAGTAAGAATGCAATTCTCAGAGATTATCCGCCGTTGATTGGTGGCCCACGAAACTACCCGTCTGGTGGATCGTCTGTGATGCTGGCTCTGGAAGGTGATTACTCGACCGCTGTGATTGTAGTTTGCGGTGGGGCCCAGTACGGCGCATATATTGATAGGAGTACTGACGCCCCGGCGCACGGTAGCTGCGGCCGGATTGTGGCGACCCAACCCGACTCGGGTTGGGAAACGGAGGACATGCCATTTGTTCGGATCATGGGTGATATGGTGATGTTGCCGACCGGCGAAGTTTTGATAATCAACGGAGCTCAGGCGGGGACTCAAGGGTTTGAGATGGGGTCGAACCCGTGTTTGTACCCGGTTTTATACAGACCCTCTGAACCCATTGACCTCCGGTTCATGACATTGAATCCCGGTTCAGTACCCAGAATGTACCACTCCACGGCGAACTTATTACCGGACGGGAGGGTACTAATCGCCGGAAGTAATCCGCATTATTTTTACAAATTCGCTACCGATTTCCCGACGGAGCTCAGAATAGAAGCTTTTTCACCGGAATATTTGTCGGCAGACAAGGCCAATATTAGACCGGTATTGGAGCAAACGCCGGAGACGTTACGGTACGGTGAGGCATTTGATGTGTTTATATCGGTTTCGCTGCCGGTGGTGGGGATTGTGGAGGTGAATTTGGGGAATGCACCTTTTGCGACCCATTCGTTCTCGCAGGGACAGAGATTGGTGAAGCTTGCAGTCACGAGCGCATTGCCGAACGGGGATGGACGGTATAGGATTGGATGTACGGCGCCGCCGGATGGGAGAGTGGCGCCGCCGGGATATTACATGGTGTTCGCCGTAAACACGGGGGTGCCGAGTGTGGCTCGTTGGGTCCAATTAGTGGCCTGATTTTTAATTACTTCTTTGTCGTCTTTGTTTTTGTTTTTTGGAATTTAGTTCTTTATATTTTATTTATTTTATTAGTTTGGGTGCCAGCTTCAATTATTGTCATTTATGTAAGTGTTGATAAGGAAAACGACGGGTCGAGGAAGTTTACAGAATTCTGTAACACTTGTCAAAGGTTTGTGCTTTGTTTATGCAAAAAAAAAAAATGAGAAAATGTTTGTTTGGATAACCTACTTGATAAAGGTTCTCCCCGAGTGTGTGTGAGTCGTCACCCACTTGTCAAGTAAATAACTTTAATAATAAAATTATACGTACTATTTGTAAAGTAATGGTCATCCACTGATTGACAACTTCATTCTCATTAGGTTTTTAAATTTTATTAATTACCACAAGAGTGATAATAAAAATAGATCTCAAGGCCGACTAATAAACAGACCTTATGTTATAAATAATAATAAAATTAATTATACATAAACCAAGAATGTCCATGACAATGATATTCTTCTTTATTTAGATCTTTATACTTATTTACACTTTATTTATAGTCTCAGGTTGCTCTTAACATAATGTTTGTTTCACTATGAACTTATCTTTATTATGATACAAAGAACACGAATTCAAAATAAAAAACAGACTCTGCATATACTAAGTAAGAGTGAGACTCTGTATATCCAACCTGCCTCAAACGCCTATGGTATTTAATGTAAATGAGTAGTTAAATTGTTGATTGAAAGGGAATTTTTCTTTTACTGGATGAGGACAAAGCCTGGTAGGTTATACTTCTGTGGTAATGGAACTAGTCAACATAGGCAACTTGATGGACAATCTGACCTAACCATCTTCTAGCTAGCCTCATCTTGACGCCTCGGCCTTACATTACATGGAGGTCTCATCAACGGATATTGATATCATATCCTTCTCCTTTTCTAAGTGCACTTCCGTTACCTTCCAAATCTGTATCATTATAATTAGACCGTAAATATGATTTTAATCCGAGTTTGAATTCAGTCCGAGCCTAGTGATTTGAATCAGATAATCTGTTAACTAAACAAATCAAATATGAATTTGGCTGATCCAATTCGAATTGGTTGACAGACCTACAAAAAAGTGGTAAAAAAGTTTCAGACTTGCTAAGAATTTAAAACCAACGACCATTACCACCAGGCAAAGTAGCTGTGGTCAGGCCCAAATTAGATAAAATGACATGCGTTTCGGCCCACCGCAAAGTAAGCAACTTTAGGTGCAACCCGAAGAGGTCTCCATCAAAACAAACTCTGGCAGTATGGCCAAACTTTATCCAAAAGAACCACAACAAAAGAATCAAAGACAAGAAAATGGGTGGCAAGAGAAAAGGAGCGACAGATAATTCTCAACTTGCCGCAAGCAAAGATAAGGCAGGATGCAGGGCTACGATAGGAAAATAAAGATGGAAAAAATGCTCTATTTTCCGCGAATATCTGCTTGTTGAAAAACTTCTTCCCTTTCAGAATCATATACTCCGTAGATAGCGTACTGAGTTTGTTTGTTTCTTAAAGAAAGAAAATATCATGAACGCTCTGTACAAAACTATAAGGCATCTGCTAGATTAACTAAGCACCCACCACTTCCAGTTTCTCATTTTGAACTAAGCAAAAAAAACTCAATTAAAAGCATCAAAATTTGAGCCAAGAACCAATACGAGTCGAAGGGTGGAGTATCATTTACAAAAGTTTCATGTTGCACAGCTCAGTCAGCCCTTGCTTGAATTCAATTTATTCATCCATGATAAACTTCGGCACATCATTTGAATAAAACAAGAATGAATAGCTGCATATAAGAAAAAGTTATCTGCATAACCGCAAACTAAATCAATCTGCAAGAGATGGAAAAACAAATCAAAAGCTTTTGGTGCGCATACAAAAGCCAAAATTTAAGATATGCCTGAAGACATAGCATTCTAAAGGCATTGATGGTCTTATGAGGATGGAGTTATGATATTCATCAAGCAATACTTGCCGTAGTAAGTTGGCTAATGGCTTCAATTATTTTGTCCCAGATTTTATTTTATTCTTTTGACAAACCATTGCATTATTCTTATTTTATGTTGTATACTTCCTAGATCTCTTTTCGGTATGTGCCTATCAGAACTCCATGTGGAACTCATTTTTTTGGTATCTGAATTGTATAAACACAAAATTAACCAAAAATTGAAGACCGAGCCATGAACTCAACAAGACACCTAAAGAATAGCTAAAACGAGAGGAATTTATGTGGCACCAAAGGTCTATAGTTCAAAGGGTACACAAAAATGTTCCATATAACATATAGATCTAAACACTCTTTTAAAGCTTCTGCCTCATTTTGCTTTGGCTCGACCTCGTGAACAGTAGGTGGCCAATAGCTGGACAAAATCTAGCTACTATTACAGCATTTAGTCAATCTTGTTTCTCTTCTCTTGCTAACACATTCTAGATAATTCTTCAGGGCACAAAATGAATTAAAAAAAAAAAAAAGGAAATATACGGTCTCCTTGATATAATAGTCCACATGCCACAAAAACCAACTCACTCTGCTAACAAGGACTGAAAAGGAGACGATGAATACACATTGGTGAATCCAGTTCATTAATTTAGGATCAAACCCCAGAAACGTCAGTACCATTAACATAAATTTTGTTTACATGTAATCAAATGCTTTTGACATACCAATCTTAAAAATCATAAAACCTCCTGTCAATTTCTTCTTTAGACAGCACATGATTCTAGTGTTGACTACATTCTCTCCAATGAATCAACCTTGAATAAAGGCTGATTGATTACCAGGATTGATGCCGATTAAAAAAGGCTCAATTCTGTTAGCTATTAATTTTGACATTACCTTATCGCTAAAAGCTAAAACTACACAAACTAATTGAACAGAATTGCTCAGAGTGAGCTTCAGGGGACTGATACAGTTTGAGTGTGATTTATTTCCTAGAGCATGCCTGAAAAACATTGAACCACAGACGAGATCATCACCTACGACCAAGGATTATACGTCATAGAACACTGTCGACATTCCATCAAGACCAGGAGCTTTGGAGGCATTTTAAACAGATTTTTCTTCATTTTCTCGTAGGTTGAAATAATACAAATATCTCTATTCTCTCCTTCTGATATGCAAGGATTAAATAGATGCTCTAAATAATCATGGAAGGGGAAGGGGAAGGTGAGGTGAACAAGTTTTCAAAATATTGAGCAAATGTATTACGAACTTGGATTCTCTTTTAGATCCAATCACCTCTCTGTTTTAGGAATCAATCGCAGTCCTTTTTTTTTCTGATTATAGTAGAGAGAGAAAAAAAAAAAAATTTGCGTAGCCATTAAACTATAGACCTTTGGTGCCACAGAAATTCCTCTAGTTTTAGCTATTCTTTAGGTTTCTTGAAAGGATTTCCAGTTTTTAGATTCACAAGGACAATGCTAGCTTCCTTTTGTAAATTGTAATCAGAAGGGTGTGCCCGACTTTGCTTTGTAATTTGGTTGCTTTTGTATTTATACAATTCAGATACCAAAATAAAGAGTTCCACATAAAGTTCTGATAGACACCTACCGAAAAGAGATTTAGCAAGTATACAACATAAAATAAGAATAATGCAATTGCTTGTCAAAATAAAAATAAAAATCTCGGACAATAGAGGGTACTTCGGTTGCAGCTGAAAATTCCATTTCCATTTAACAAAAACAATTCATACTCAATATGATTTAATATACAATTCACAGAGCAGAAATTAAAGCTTTTATGGAAATATACAGATGTACATGTTGGAAGATTGATGGTAATTACCTGATCAACTTCCAATTCTTCACCTCTCATCGAGGTCTATTACCAAGACAAACTAATGCTAAAATGACTCAGTTTCAACAGCGTCCTTAGAGCTACATTTTGAGCCACATTATCAGTTCTGTGCTTGAAACCCATAACTCCCATCTTGTTGCCTACTCATATCATATACTCCTGAATTGGCGCTTTTGGGTTTCCGTGAAACCCGACCGCCGCTAAACCGACTATCAGCATTGTGCATGAGTGGAGTATCCACTCGTTTTTCCATATTGAAACCAACTTGTCCTGAATCCAACCCGTTCAAGCCATTAGAATGTTCAACCCCAGGCCGCCTCCTGTTCCTCTTCTTCCTAAATTTACCATTACAACCCTTTCCATTCTTTCCCTGAAACTGTTCCATCGAATTGTTTGGTTCAATGTCACTTTCACTACGTGAACCACCTCTCAATCCTCTCAGATTCTTATTCCCATTTCGTTGTATACCAATTTCAGGTTCTGAAGAAAAACTCAACAATTCCTTCATGTTATCCAAATCATTAGCAATTTTCCCGTAGGGTTTGATGCTATGAACAACCCCTTTAGGGAAAAACCTCGCCGAGGGCACCCCATCGACGGTGTCGAACAACTGGGGCCCATCTTTCTCGGACCACAAATCGAACCCACCTGGCTTTTGAAATCTATCGGCCAATACCTTCAACTGTTCATCAGCTCTGACGGAAAACAGCGTCGGCACTTTCTCAACGACCTCCCACGGCTTCTCGAGCTCCGAAACAGCCGCTCTCAGCTCCGCCCGCTTTCGCATTTCGTAGATTTGTCGCTCGCGGGTGAGTCTGGCCTTGAGGAGTTGTTTGGATTTGTTTGCTTGCATTCGCTTCCACTGCCATTTCGATACGCCACCTGGGTATGTTCTCGGACCGCCGCCCATATAGATCCTTGTCGTTTTGGATGTGTTGATTGATAGGCGAGAGAGCTTCGAAACGAGGAAGATAGGGTTTGGGCCAGACAAAACCATAGATGATGAGAGGTTATGTGGGTGTGGTGTTGGGATCGACGGTGACATTTGAAGGATTGACATTTTTTAAGCCCTAATTTCAGCGTTGGGAAGAACTTGAACGTGAGGTGATGAGAGAGAAGACCCTCTTCTAATCTGGAGTTGGAGAGGAGGAGGTAAACGAAATGAATGGTGTGATTGAGGATGTGGCTCGGATTTCCCGGGCCGTACTGGCCCCAATGACCCGTGTTTTGGATTTGATTTTTGTGTCGGGTTAGTCCAGACCAAATCTGATTAGAGCAAGATGACAGCCGATTAGATTAAAGATTGAGAGGACCCTCACTCTATTGCCCGGCGCTGTGTATTATAGCGGGCTAGGAACATTTGTGGTCATGATTTTTTGAGAGTTGGCAATCTTTTGGAAGACAAATACCCTTTTGGAAGAGGCTATATTTTAATTTTCATTCATTACTCTTTCTCTGTTTTCATTAATTACTACCCTTTAAATTATTTTTTATTGTCTTTATTTTTTTCCTTTTTATTTTAATTGTGGCAACTAATTATTTTTTTCCTTCCTTTTTTTTCTTTTTTTCCTAAATTGTTGCCATTAGCCTTTTATTGATTCTTCCTTTCATTTTTTTTTAAACCAAAACAAATAAAACAGGGGAATGTTTACTAAATTTAGAAAAAAATTTATTAAACCAAATTGTTATTAAATTTTAAATCAGAACAAATAAAAATAGGAGAATATTCACCAAATTTAGAAAAAAATTTAAAAATAAGGGAATGTTCACCAAATTTATTATTAAATTATAACAATTTTAAAAAAAAATAAGAAAAAAAAAAATGAGAGGAAGGACGAAAAAAAAAAAGACTAATGGCAACCATTTAGGAAAAAAAAAAGGAAGGAAAAAAATAACAGCGACTATCCTTATAAAATTATACTATTCCTAATTTTCGTCATTCTCAAAAAACAGAAGTTCTGAGTTATCTGTAACAACAATTAAAATTTTGCCGCACCGACTCTCCTCTAACTTATTATACGTATAGAGAGTAGAAACTTGAGAAAGAAGAAGACTCTTGAGATTTCTGTTTGGTCTGCGAGTGAGAAAGTATTGTAGAAAGAGAAACAATGGCGACTGAGCATTCTGTAATGGCAGTGATTAGGGCATATAAGCCAGTTTTCAGAAATGCTCACGACAAGGTAGCGTTTGCAGTACACGCCTCCTTCCTCGCTTCCGGCTACGTCCTCAACGCCACCGGTCCACCCGCTCTCTCCGATGACGCCCTGTATTCTGCCTCTACCGGTAACTATCTCTTTCTCTATATATTATATGTAATATCGTATGAATAGGATTCTGATTTTCATTTTCGGTTCGTAGACGAGGCGGGGATCGATCGTTGGAACGAATCGGAGGACGAGTACGGGTTTGTTTACCTAAACCCTAACAAGGGTTCCAAGAAAGTCTTAGTCAAGTGTCTCGCGATGGACGATATGTTGTTTGTTGATGCTGTGAGCGATGACGGTTCCAAGCCTGTACATCTTGAAATTAAGTAAGGATTTTTCTTGAATCTTTATTTTTGCAATTGGGTAGTTATATAGTTTTGTTGATTTGTATTAATTTTTATATTTATTTACTTTCTTGAATTTCTGTATATTAATTTGTGTGGGATTGTTGACTTCTTATTATTTACCGGTGCATATTTGGGTTTGATTATGATTTGCAGAGTTGGGGACTACGTTGAAGAGAACGGGGGAGATAATTATAGTTCACAGTTCAAGAATTTGGGGAAGCTGGTGAACATTATTGACAAAGAAATGTTAACTAAATTGAATGGCTCTTCAACCACCAGCACTTCAACACAATCTTTAAGGTAATTTAGCTTATTTACATTTAAGTGTCTACAGCAGCACACTTGGTTGTGGTCGTGACAAACTGTAGATGGGTGCAGATATATTATGTTCTGGATTACTAGTGTGATTGGCAGATTATGTCATGGTGATTTAATTTTAATCTTTAATTTAGCTTGTTTGCATGTAATTGCCTGTAATGTACACTTGGGGATGTTAATAATAAATTTTAAATAGCATTTAGCAAATACAATATGTTCAGGAGTATGAATTTGATCTGCATAATTGGTTTTGGGGGACTTAGAGCAACCTCCACCCCCTTTCCGCCTTACATAGATTTGTTTTATATTGCTTTTTGCCTTTGGTTGTTTGGCTTGGAGACTTGTATATGGTTCTATCACGTCAGATTTGTAAATTAAAAAGTGGAGGAAGACAGAGTTTTAAAACTATTTTCCCAGGCTGCTTTCATTAACATTCTTGACTGCTTTTACAGTGTTAGAACCTTGTTTATTCTATACTGTATAGCTTGTGAAAGACTCTCAGCATTATTATTGGCTAGTTACAACATGCTGTTCATTTCTATAGAGGTGGCGGAGGCTTCTTTGGTTTGTGTTGATCTTTAGATTATTTTATCGATGTTGTAGTGGTGTCCTAATCCATGTGTTTATATAGAATTTTGCAACTGGGAACATGGTTTCCCTCGAAATTCAATTGATTGTTTGTTTTCTGATGCTATATATGCAGTTCTGAGACAAGGGCAGGACAGAGAGACATCCCAATTCCGATTGATGTTGGAGTTGCTGAACCTCATTACCCTCAACCTTATCCTTCAGGGTATATCTAACATAAATAAAATTTATTTTGAGTTAATTCCTTACTTCAAATGGCTGCATGGTAGTATATTGCATGCATCATCAATTTGTAGCCTGTGGAGAATAGCTGCCTTTCTGGATTTGGCTCATAAAATTAGAAGTCTTGAGATTTTTTAAAGCGCAAGGCATGATATCCGAGGTTTTCTTGCAACACAGTAATGCAGACTCTTTTTATGTCACTAGAAATATACATTGAGGAAGTTTTGATATGTTGGTCTTTATTTAACCAAACAGTTCAATTTTTTAAGAAATTATGCTTAAAGAGATTTGCTAATTTTAGGATGTTAAGTACAGTGAGTTATTTTGATGCTTGTTGATGCAGTCCCTAAAGCATGTTATTACCCTCATTTCTTAGTTTTGTCTTATATAGCGAGGGTATACTAGTAAAATAATAGTCATATTTCAAAGTCTCCTTTTCCTTTCATTCCTGCCAAACAGTGGAAGGTGTCATCCCCGTCCCTTCCTTTACTTCTAGTCAACCAAGCAAAAGGAGGGATGGACACTTTCCTATTCCTAGAGATGCCCCTTCCATCCATCCCCTTTTGCAACCCCCACCTTGGAGCATCTTTTGTTCCAGGGATTATACTTAACAGAAATATATATCTTACGTTACAATTTTATAACTAAATTTTATTTCCAGCACCTATGTTGGCTTTTTATGAAATAATACCGATAGTTCTACCACATGATGTTAGTTGGCCTGAGTCAATATTAATATAGACTGGATACCAGGTGGTAACCACAATATATAGCTATATTATCATCACTATTGTGAAGGTTAGGGTTTTCAAAGTCTCTGTAATGTTGTCAACCCTGTATATTACCTCTCCCTATTTCATTTTTTTGATGAATTTTCTCCCATTTTCATTTTTGTTTTTTTCTTCAGCTTGTGGATCTTGAAATCAAGTTTGTGAAAAATGCCCCTGCAACTTTGCTATCACCACCAGATAATGATTTCTATGGCAAATTGGCAATAGAGAAAGTTCCAATTAGTTTAGAGATGATTCTGAACTCTTTGGCATGGAGATGAGACTAAACATTGCTACTTAGTGAATGTTGAGGCCTGTTTGTTGATGTTTTCAACCTAATTAGCTAATATAGTTTCTATAATTACGGTTATAGGAAACTATCTGCTCTAACCTTGTAGGAATGAGAAGGCTTGAGTGGGCGTATTAAAACCTAAACTATCTAACAAAAAAATAAATCAAATCTTCTACTGCTGTTGAAAACTACATGCTTGAGTTGTAAAGGTACTCTGACATTAGAATGTCAGTACTGAACCCAATCAAATAAGTACGCAATTATTGTGTTACAGATTCATGGGGTGATAATATATTTTTTGTGATTCACATATAATGTGGTGAAAGCCATCGAAGTATGAGGCTAACTTCTCTAATATGTGATTGCTATTTAGATTTGTCCCTCCTCTCGGTGGCAGCGATCTTTTTCCTGGTCCTCCTCCTGGAGTGTTCCCTACCAGGTTTTTTGTTACCCCTGATTTATTGCATCATGTTCATTCATTATCTGGTGCCTTATGCCAGGTTGCCATTATATTTTAGTTGCAGTTTCTTACTTAATTAACTGGTGGCCTTTTGTCAGGGGTGGCTTTGGCAGTGGCGGGGGCATGTTTGTAGGTTTGTAAAATTTCCTTATTGAACTCTTTTATCAATGTGCACATAAAACACTTTTTAGACTCACATCTTCTTGTCATGTGGTTGCAGGCCCCGATCATCCTCTGTTTGGTGGGATAGGTGGAGATCCTGGTTTCCCCAGAGGACAACCGTGAGTTATTTAATCTCTCTCTCTCTCTCTCTCTCTCTCTCTCTCTCTGTGACACACACACACACTCAATTTGGAGTCTGTATTTAGAGCTTAGTTTAATTGAACAGGGGTATTCCATCGGGTATTCCTCCGGGCGCACGTTTTGATCCCTATGGCCCACCTAACGTTCCTGGTTTTGAGCCTAACCGATTTGTCAGGTATTGATACATATTGAATGCTTCTGCTGTCCTATTGATTGAATAAATTGCAAGAGTAGATAGGGAATTGTAAACTGTGTTGTTTTAGGTTTTAAATATTTACTACTGTTATTGTAATTATTAGTTTTTTTTATTGCTTTTGCAACTCTTGGTCTTTTGCGAGTGGAATTTAGCAGATCAGAAATTTGATCTTGTGGTGTTAAGTGGAAATGCTGGCCAGTGGCCGCACAGCAAGTTTCATATCTGTTTGATCTTTTTAACAAACCGCTATCTTTTTAACTGGGTTTGGGTCCTGATCTTATATGGTTCAGAAATGAATGGGCTGGATGAATGTAGATGTCTTTATTTATTGTTACCTGATGAGATTAACTTTCATTTTGAATAAACTGCAAGAGTAGATGGGGAATTATAAACTGTGTTGTTTTAGGTCTTAAATATTTACTACTGTTATTGTAATTATTAGTTTTTTTATTGCTTTTGCAACTCTTTTGTCTTTAGCGAGTGGAATTTAGCAGATCAGAATTTTGATCTTGTGGTGTTAAGTGGAAATGCTGGTCACACAGCAAGTTCCATATCTGTTTGATCTTTTTAACAAACTGCTATCTCTTTTAACTGGGTTTGGGTCATGATCTTATATGGCTCAGAAATGAATGGGCTGGATGAATGTAGATGTCTATTTATTGTTACTTGATGGGATTAACTTTCATTTTGTGCAAGATAATTCATTAGGGTCAATTTTTAATTTTTATTCCCAGAACTGCTTTAGTTTTTTTCATGCCTGGTTTTGGGAGGTTTTGATACTGTTGGCATGTGCCATGAATTTGGCTGAAACACAGTCACTCATTGGTCTACGTTGACTGTTAGCCTTCAAATATTGATCTCCATTACAACAAGGTGTCTGGTGCTTTGCTTATGCTGCCATTGTGTTTTGGGAAAGGATTCTAGATGAGGAATGTCTTGATTTTGGTACTCACAGAGGAAAACTCACTGGTCAAGTTTAGTCTTTGGTTTGAAGGCGGTGTAGTCACTTGACTTGGGAGTTGGGACCTTTAGGTCAAGTGGGATATCCTTATCCTCCCATACAGGAAGTTGACTTAGTTGAGAGTTCAAGTGCACAATGGAACATAGTAGTTGTGTATGTTGGACGTGTATATTGTTTTTTTCTTCGGACGTGTGTATTGTTACTTAACAAAAAAAGGAAATTCTTTGGCTAGAAACTAAACCTACTTAGACCGTTATGGCCAATACTTCACAATTGAGCCCTTAGTTGCATCATTGAGTAGTTGTTTTCTCCTTTGCCTTTTCATTTCCGTCATATTTTCATTTCTATCATGACTTAGCCAAAGCCGACTTACCAGTTGAATCAAGTTGAGCCAGCTGGCATACTTACTGGTTGAAGGACCCGTTGTGGTTTCCAAAAACATTAGGACAAAATCTGGGATTTCAGGTGGGGTTTCTGAGCTGACTTGGGGTTTTGAGTGAGGTCTTTCAGATGAATGTGTAGTTGATATGAACTGAAAATTGGCAAGCTGGTCCAATCTCCAAAAGGGGTGGGGACACCATCTGTCACCCCCTAAAATTAATAGTAAAAATAAATTTGGCAATTGATGTCTACCTGGGACCAGGCTTGATGAACCCGTTTTTGAGTTTTACAAGGTATCTTTTCACTTATACCTTGATTAAATGCTTTTATAGGTCTGCAAGCTGAGTCTAGTTTCTAGTTGTTGGACTTGGCTTGCCAAATTTAGAAGCTTGTTGGAGCTCAGCTTGTGTTCTGGCAAGCTTGGCCTAGCTCAATCTTGGCTTGTTTTTGTACAGCCAAGCTCGAGCTCTGCTTGACTCAAGCCCATTTGCATGTGTGTGTGTATACTTGGACACGATTACTACTCTCTGTCAAACGGCGATCTTTTAAGCACCATTGCCGCTTGTGATTTTGGCAGCATTGCAGCGGCTGTCAATGGAGTTTTGCTGTCCAAAGTTTGCCAATCTTGTTCTTTGATGTCGTGACAAAGATGATATAGAAGAGAGAGATAGAGAGAGAAGATCATCCACTGATTTAAAAATGAGAGAAGATAAAATGAGAAATGATAGAGAGATTTGAGATAAAATGAGGGGAGAGCTGCTAAAGGTTTCCAAGACGAATAGGGAGAGTGGCGATTGCTTAGGGTTCCAAAAGAGAGATGGACATTCTCTCTTTTATTGTTGGGAAGGATTTATTTCAAGCCATTGGATTTCCTACACTCTATGCTACATGTTTGCTGGGTTTAGAAGTATTGCCCGAACAAGAAATATTAAATGGGCTTCTTTTGGTAGATGAGATGTGTTCCATTAAAAGCCTTTTAGATGATTAGAGATGGGTTTTATTCATGTTCTTATTGTACATTAATATAACAAATTCAATTTTCTTATGAGTCTAGCTTGTTCACGAGCCTAGTGAGCAGAGATTGGGTTAAATGGGTTTGGCTCGTTTATAGAATGGACTTTCATGTACGAACTGAACAAGCTCATTCATGAGCTGAGCCCGAGCTGTTCATCAATAGATTGGTTCTTTTACCGGCCTATGAATTTATACCATGAATAATATGTACATGTAATATATATACACATGTTGTTTGGCGAAAATTTCTGCTTCCTCTATCAGTGTTTGACATGTTTTTTTTTCTTTTTTTCTTTTCTGGACGTGCTGTAGGAACCCACCAAGGAGGCCTGGAGGCGGAAATCATCCAGATTTGGAGCACTATAGGGATGGTTCAGACTTCATATAGACTCATGTTCCCACCCTTGATGCGAAACCGAAGTTGGATGATACACTCTTCCTTTGATACCTTGTCAATGTGATTACATTTACTTTTTCCTATACATATTAATAGGGTTTGTAAGGTTTTGTTACAAGTTACTAAACTATGTTTTAGAATTGATGATGGTGCTTATGTTATGGATTTCACTTTGATATCTATCGGTCCTCATTGCGTGTGTTTTTCCTGTTTGTTTTTGTTGTTTGTGTGAATCGGTGCCATGGGTTCTACACGATGTTTGTAATTAAGAAATTTTTTCGTGTTATTCTCACTCCTAAAGCTGTGTTTCTTCGTATAGTGTATCAAAGAATGCATTATATGTATTCTTTCTCACTATTTGTTTTCCTGTTAATGTATTTTAATTTTTTTTTTAAGTGGTTTCTGTTTCGATCTGTTTGGAAGTATAATAGATTCAGATGGTGTCAAGTGACAAACAAGTGGCCTATTTGAATTGAAGGATTAGTGTGTAGGATTTTAATTAGGTCCTATTTGGGTTGAAGGATTTCTATTACTTGATGGATTTGAGACGATTTTAAATGAATGGAATTGTGAGAAAGAATCAATTTATGTTGACGATTTTATTAGTTTGCGCAATGACGGTAATAAAATATTGCTCTTATTACCTATAATTTAATCTCACTTTGATATTTTGAAATTCAATTTCAGCAGTCAAATAGCCAACATTTTATGTAAATACTAAATAGATCCTTTGATTTCAAATCTATTCATTTATCTAAATTAAGCTTTGATGTATACAATCAGTGAGGAAAGCGTTCTATTGAAATTCAATTCTAACAAAGTAAATTACTGAAAAGAAATTCCTTTTATTATTCTTACAGAAGAAATGTGACTTGGGAATTCAAAAAAATAAAAATAAAAATCAAATGCAACCAGTAATTTTCTTACATTCAAACATTACTACTATATTGTTCTTCGTTTTTTTTTCGAAAAGTTACCATCTTGTTCTTATCAAAGTCCAAGAGGCAGTTTTAACGTTAGATTTGGTTGATATGAAACCCAAGGAATCACCAATCAAAAATTCAACATTTGGATGCAATTAAAAATAAATAAAATCAACATTCTACTCTTTGTTTTAAATAGATAAGAATGTAAACTAAAAGACAAATTAACAACAAGTGGTCGTGCCGGAGTGGTTATCGGGCATGACTAGAAATCATGTGGGCTTTGCCCGCGCAGGTTCGAATCCTGCCGACCACGTAAATTTTATTTTTTAAATTGTGGGATGAAAATGATTGCTAAAAAGTAATATTGTAGCTGGTGTTCTGTTAATTTTTTTTTTAATTAATTAATTAATTATATTTATATTTATTACTTTCTTTGATCTACCAATTCTAACCTTTCTTAAATCAAACAGTATATTTATTACTTTCTTGGATCTACCAATTCTAACCTTTCTCAAATCCAGCAGAATGAAACTTTTCTCACACACACGAAGAAAAAAACCCACCGAAAGAAAAAGGGTAAAAAATGAACAAAACACTGGTATCCAAACTTTCACAAGTTAATTAGAGGGAAAAAAAGAAAAAAAGTTTCAATTGGCTTGGTACGATTCCTAGTTAAATTGGATTCGAATCAATTCTAACCATTATTAAAAAATTGGAATCGAAACCAAAATTATTGAGGGCCGGAACCAATTCATTAAAGAGCGGTTCGGTTTGAAACCACAATTCTATTTTTTATTTTTTTATTTACCTTTAAAAATAAAATAAAAAACTTAATAAACTGCTACCAACATTATGAATTTTGCTTATCAAAACAAATACAAGTTTATATAACAAATAAATAATAATAAACTTCTTAACCAAGAAATAAAATATATTTGTAATATAAAAGCAAATGAGTTATTATCATTTTTTTTTTTGTGTAAAATAAATATGAAATTTATAAATAAAAAATCATTTGAGAATATCCTTATCAATAATGTTATAGTAGTAAAGTTTATCTTTGTAATCTATATTATATTGTTATTTATTAATATTGTTGAAAAAGTAAGCTGACAATTCTTTATTTTAAATCAAAACGTGGTTGGAATCATAACTCATAAGAGAATCGAACTGAAGTGACAATTTGGTACAGTTGTAAGATTGTAATAGTTGTTTGTTCAACCCTAGTTCTGATAAGATTTAGTGATGGACAAACAAGAGCTGGCTGAGGCCTTTTACACTACAAATAGTGACAAAAAAAAATGCTGCAACAGCAGCTTTGTGTATGCAAAACCACACAAACTTACGGTAAAAGTTATGGATAAATTTTGTAAAATGGAGACACTTCAGGTGACGTAAAAAGTTGGACACACCTACATCATCCACAGTCTTTTAACAGATAAGTTCCACCACCACCACCTTTTCTGATGATACTATGTCTGTGGACCTCCTCCATTTTTGGCCCTTTTTGCCCATTCCCGTCCTCACTAACCTTGTCGGACTCTGACCCCATTACCGTCTTTATCTCTTCCTTGACTGTCATTTTTTCAACATTCAAATCGCAGTACTGTATGCAAGACCTGTCAGTGGAGCCAATCTAAATTCGGATTTGATCTGAATCTGAACTGATTAATCCATATAAATTGAACAAAAAATTCAATAATTTAATTATAATCTAAATTTAATAATATGTTAACTTAATAAATTAAATATGAATTATGTTGATTCGGTCCGATAATAATATGATTCGAACTAATTAAATATATATATATATATATCAATACTCCTATTAGAATTGTATTAGTGGTAATCTAAAATTTAAAAAAAAAAAAAAATCATAATATTATATATACAATAATGTGATATTCCCATTTATATGTTAATAAATATCTTAATATACATACTAATAATATTATACTCTTTATTCATTAACATAGAGTAAATAATTTTTTATTTTTATTTTTCTTTCATATTAGAGTAAATATATATATATTTCTTTTCTTTTCATATTTTAGTTATCTTTTTTTATATTTTTTTTCTTATAATCATTGTTTTTTTCATTCTCTTTTGACATTAATTTATATATATATATATATATATATATATATATATATTTTAATATAAAAAATCTACATTTTATCTTATCAGATCGGATTATCCATTTATTAACAAATCTGATTCGAATTAATTTACAAAATATTCGATGAATTATCGAATCGCCAAAAATGCTTATCGAATTTGGATCAGATCAAGCCTGATCCTGTTCGAATCGGATGTATTTATAGGTTTAACTATATGCATATCTCTCTCTCTAACCACATACAAATTAAAACCAAGTAATTCGAATTAATTAAACAATATAATAATAATTTATGTAATTGAAGAGCGTGCAAAGTGATGGACCCAACTGAAAAGAATGTACAATTAGTACATCGTTATTATTGTACAATGGCATGGGTAGAATCTCCAAAGTTGTGGCTAGTTTTTAAGTTCCATGGTACCATACAACTATACAACTCTGGTGAGTGAGAGGGAGTGAAGGGGACCAGGTTCATTGGGGTCTCACAAAACAAAAATATTTGTGCGACCCCCTCACACCTCTATAAACACAGTTCTTTCACGCGTGATATTATATTATTAAAGTGGGTGTGTTAGTGGTGTATACATTTTATTGTCAATGAAAGAAAAAATACATCCTATCACATAAAAAAATATATATTTATTTTAATAAATTATTTTATTATGTGTTAATATTAAAATATTTAGTAATATAATATCATAAATATATCAAGAATATTAATTAATAAATATTAATTTAAAAATCGAATAAATCCCATTATATGATGTTAAACTAACCGATTTTTTGAATTTCAGCACCTAAATCACTATTCTCAGCGCGTTTCTCACTCGTACGCCTCATCTCACTACCCCGCTGCACTTTTTTTTATTTTTTATTTTGGCAAAGGTGGTCAAAAGGAGCCAATACCAAGGAGAAAAAAAAAAGAAGAGAAAAATCAAAAAGACAAATGGGAATTTAGATAGAGATTGAGGGGGATGGTGGGGTTGTTATTATCCACTAGCTATTCGTGGCAGTAAAAAATTGGAAGATAGAATGGAGGTCCCACGTAAAAAGTCTGATGGTTCCTGTTTAGATTTTCGGATTTAATTTTCTAAAAAACAAACTACACTCAAAATATTTGCCCATTGATTGTAGAGTTTGTTTGGTGTGTGAGAGACATCATTATAATTAGTCTAATTGTAAGGTTAGTCTCCTCGATTCAAGATCCATTATTATCTTAATGGTTCAAATTAGTAACTCTAAGTTAATTTTCTATTTTCAATGATTAATTTCCTTTATTCTAGAATCCACCACTATCATAAAATATATATATATAAACAATAATAATAACAAAAATAGGAATTAATGATGTTTGTGGATTTTCCATGTTGGAAATTATGGTCGGGTGTTGTGTGTATAGTCCGGACTGAGTAGACGACACTGATGACTGAACTAACAGAAATTTTGAAGAAAGAGAGATCACAGGAGGAGAAGAAAATCAAAGTTATACTAGTGTATATACTCACCTAAATAGATAAAATGGAAGTTATATTATTTATATATAAATCTATATTCATAGAGAGAGATAAACAATATTGAGATGACGGTAAATGGATGCCATTCCTACTACTGCCGTTCTTTAAATTGGTGCGGCGACGATTACGTTTCTCACTCGCTCACATCAACGGCCCTTTCATCACGTGCCTCTCCCTCTCACTCTTCCTTTCTGTTTCCGCCTTTTTCTTTTCTTTTTTCCTCTGCAGTTTTCTGTTTGTTTCTCTCAAAATCTTTCGGCCGTTTCGTTCTATCCCAAATCTTCTTTGACGGTGCTTCTTGGTTTTATATATTGGCCCCTTCTGGTATCACATTCATTTGTGATTGTGGGTTTATAGATATAGATAGAGAAAGAGTTCTAGAGAGAGAGAGTGAGATGGAAGGAGGGAAGCAGGTTGGTTCTTCATCATCATCTTCCTCTTTCACTTCTGATCTTTTTGGTTCCAATGAGTCGTCGTCTATTTCTCCTTCTTCTGGGATTTTAGGCTCTATCTTTGCACCTTCATCTAAGGTATCACCTTCTTCAATTGCTTTTCTTGAATTTGTGGATTTTAAATTTATCTTTTCAGTTTTTATCCATTTTTCGATCAAGCTTTGATTAATTATTTCTAATTATCTCAATGGGGATTTTGCATTTTATATTGTGTCTGTGAAGTTCAGAGTACAGGTTGTGTTCTGTTAAATGGCGTGTCAGCAATTGTTTCTTGATTAGCGTTTAATTCTTTGCTGTTTGTGGTTTTTCATGAAATTTTGACGCTAATAAAGTTTTTTTTGAAGTTCATCTTAAACTGGACAAGAAATAAGTTTGGTGAAATACCCAAAAGGGTACTCGAGAGGTTTACTCAATTTGAGGGTTTTTCTTCTTCTTTTTTGGGTCAGTGAAAAAAAAATAAAAAGAATTGGAAAGAAAAGTAAAACTAGAAATGAGAGCTCATCTATATAGAGTGGACTGTTATGTTGTTGGTTTGCATGAACATGCTTGTTTAGTTCAACCAAATGTTTTGTTAGTTTTTCATTGTGTCTGTGACTTGTTGAATTAAGTTTGCGAAATCTTCTTTCTTCTCTTATATGATTGTTATCTTTCTCTTACTGATGTTGTTTCAGGTGGTGGGGAAGGACTCTCTGCACTGCGAGGAGGGTGTGAAAAAGCAAGAAAATGCAAGCCAATTTTGGAATACCAAAATAACCAAACCTGGAGCTCCGGGTACATTATGAACTAAGGGTTTTTTTTTTTTTTTTGAGACATAATTTATCTAGCTTGTAGCATGTAATTTTGGATTAGGTTTATGAATTATAAATATTTTATATATTGTTCGTCAAAGATATACTAACATTTCTGCCAGTTTAATCTGTCCTTCCAATACTTTCCATGATGATATCTGATGACTATATGTTCTTTCTGTGAAAATATGTTTTTGGTTCGCTTCACATTTTCTGATTATGTGTGTTTTACTAAACTTGGAAGAGGAAAAAATATTATGTTTATCATTGAAATAAATGCTTATGATGGCCTTCGTCATACACAGCTATTGCAAGTGAAACTTACAAGATTTACTTCCAATACTTATTATATCTCAAGTTTGACAGATTTAGAATACATCATTCAAAGAACTCATTTGTGTAGATTATTCAATCTAAAGCTCCTGTAACCCCATTTTTAAGGAAAACATTTTCTACTTCTCAATTTGATTAAAAACAGGGGTGGGATTTTTTTCTTCACCAATCAAAGTTGCACTCTTGACTAAAGGAAATACTTTGAGGCTTGAAATGCGACCTGGCTTTCCGAAAATCTTGAAGTTTCAGTGTTTATAACTTGTTCAACATGAATTCTGTTTCTGGAATTGGAATAAATTCTGCTTCTTTCCAGACACTAACCCTCAGAGCAGAGAAGGAGAAGGGCAGAGCATACCGAATAGGGACAAGAGTTCCTTTTATCAGGAAGAAAGAGGGCAACCATGCCATCTGAGCTCGTCCATACACTATGGTGGTCAAGATTTCTATTCCTATCCTCAGAATAAACAGAGCTCCGGGTACCCAACTGTGAGTATATCTTATCATAGATAAATATTACTCCCTCCGTCCCAAATTAAGTGTCATCTTTGGGTACTGTGTCTCACATCACAGTTCTTAATAGAATTTTCTATTTAGATGCAGATTGATAGTATTCCTAAAATTAAAGTATAATCTAAAATCTTTTTGTATTTTTTTCATCAGTTGAACAAAGATGAAGATGATTCCGGCAGTGCTTCAAGGGGAAATTGGTGGCAAGGTATGATGCTATGATTGTTAGGAAGTTGTTCAGAAAGAGGATATGACTATGGTTGTTGTACTCTAATAGCATACTTTTGTTGTTCAATATATTTATTTCTGCAGGATCTTTATATTACTAAGACCTTACCACCAATGGCGTGTGAATTTCCTGTACCTAGGTATACCAATAATATTTATTTTTTTATTTTTTTTTATTTTTTTATTTTTTTTGTTCTTAATGCTGTTAGTATTTTGGTCCATCCAGTTGCTCTTTGCCCTAAATTGATATTGTTAAACTGAAATCTTTGCAGGAGGAAGTCATGAACATAGTTCATTGCAGATGGCTAGCCGCTTATCGTCACTTCCTCCAGCCAAAACATCAAAGCCATCATATGTACTCAAAACTTATATGTGCTCTCTTTTGCCCCTTTTGTTTTCCTCTCTTTTTTTTTTAAGCAACTGTAAATGATGTTTTGTATGTTGAAATAATTGCTCTTGTAGCTACTAGTAAACAAGTTGCAGATATGTACACCTATGTTTTAAGGTTTTTTGGTCTTAGAATGTTGAACGAAAAATGCATGAGAGCTGGAAATTCCCTTTCATCAAATTTTCTTGAATATCCTATTTATTGGAACACATATGGAGTATGGTAAAGCTACTCACCGATGAGTAGCTAAGCATTATCTTTTATTCTGTAATTGACTTGGCATAAACCTATGACCACAATTCTCAGGAATGAAAATGACCGAGAGTCATGAAATAAATGAACCTTGGTTGTTTGTGATTATTAGGTTTCATTGATGTGCCACCTAAACAAGAACCATTGATCTGCTAATATGACAACAAAAACTTTTCTCAGTATTGTCAACTTCCTATTCAATATCCTTGTAGAGATCTTTAGGTTGAGGTTTGTTCTCTATTCCATATGTGACCCACTGATGACAAGAGTCTATTTTTTATTTTTTTTATTTCAAGAAGGTCCACTGACAACAACAGTTGTTACATAGTATGTGGACCATTGTGTATGTGGTTTCAAATTTTCGATTGTTTAAGGCAGTCCGCTGCCCCCATAGTTTTTACTGATATTATTACAATCCTTATTTAGGATGGGTACGCACAAACTGCTAGCTTTAGGTTGAGGTTTGTTCTCTATCCGATATGTGACCCACTGATAACAAGTGTTTTTTTTTTTTTTTTTTTTTTTTAAAGAAGGTCCACTGATCACAACAGTCGTTACATAGAATGTGGACCATTGTGTTTGTGGTTTCAAACTTTTGATTGCCTGGCTCGTTAGGGATAATATATTTGAACTTTCAAGAAACAAAAAAATAAAAATAAATAAGAAGACATTGGGGATGGATAATAAAAGCCAGATATTTACTGATATTATTACAATCTTTATTTAGGATGGGTAGACACAAACTGCTAGCTTTTTATTGCAACATAATCACTACAACACCAGCAGTGTTATATGGTTGAGTAACTAGTGGACAGCTCATGGTTTTCTTCTTCTTCATAGTATCAGCCCCTCAAGGGACTGTATAAGCTGCAAAAATAAAAGCAATTGAGATTCAAGCATCAAAGAAATGGCACGAAATAAATAAATAAATAAAGATGGGAGTGACTTACGTCCACACTTGTATCCAACTGGACGATTAGCAATGTTGCAGCGCTTGGGGATGGTGATAGCAACTCCGGGCTTGATACCAGAATTCTTGGCAGTATCAGAAAGCATAATAGCACAGAGGCAGGTTGGGTTCTGGCCTATTTTCTTGACCTGAAGGCAGCAACTGTCCGAAACACCAGCTTTCTCGTCTTGTGCAGCCGCTGCACAAGGGGCCAGTTTCATTGCCTCATCGTCTGGAGAAGATTTCCCACATTCTCCAGCTCCATCAACCCCGGCAATGCTTACGATCACAAGCAACGCCAAAATGCCCATCACCTTCATCGTTGCCTCCATTTCGATATCACAACAAATTCACAATGCATAAAACCTCCCCCAGACACCATGTTTTTATACTGCAGCAGCTGGACTCCAAAGAAGTGGTGGCAACTAGTCCTAATGGAGCTACCACTTAAGCAATAGACTAATTACTTCTTGCACCACTAATTGCTTTCATTTTGTTTTAATCCAATTAAGATTGACACTTGCAACCAACTACCATATAAAAGTGGCCTAATCCACCACTGAAGCCACTCTTTTTTTGGAAGGGTTCAACTACTTCCAGCCAACAACTGCAAATCCCATCAACACTAGGACAGCATTAGTAACCTTTTTACTGGTTAACCGTAAATTCAATCTTCTATACATGTATAAACCAGGGTGACTAACCTTAAATTAAGGTATTTGTTCAACCCAAAATATGTCCCAATTATTTTTTGAACAACATATATCGAGTCATTGACACAATGCAGAGTACAGCTCCAGACTAAGGTCGGAAAAATCAATTTGTAACATACTATAATTTGAGCCTCCATGATGAAGGGATCATGCAGAAAAAAATAAAATCATGTATTTATATAATATATATATATATATATATATATATATATATATGGAAGTTGGACTGGAATTCAAAGTCTCATGAAGGCAAGAGCTGTCATCAAAACAGAACTAAATTTATAATTATTTATTTAGACAAAATTTGTAATTATAGCAAAAATTGTACAACTAGAATACATAAATGAAACAACTTAATATGATACTTCCACCAGCATGAAAAGAAAAATCAAGACTTTTATGTATTCTAGTGGTACAATTTTTGCAATAATTACAAATTTTGTCTAAATAAATAATTATAAATTTAGTTCTGTTTTGATTACAGCTCTTGAATTGCCTTCATGATACTTCCACTAAGCACAGCATGAAAAGAAAAATCAAGACTTTCTCGATGCAGATTTGTAGTGGCATTACAAGAGCCTTTATTATTATTGCATATCTGAGACTGTTAACTTTACGAGCCAAATCCGGAAAGGCAGCTATTAACTCAAAAGATAATTATTTTAGAAATAGAGCGGTTGGGTTCAAAAGTTCAATTTCAATATGATTTTATATTAGGATTAATTTCACTGACACCGCAAAAATTTAAATTTTGAACTTTTTAATTGGTGTCCAAACACTTTTTCCATGTAAAATCACATTACTATCATTTTGATTTTGTGTTGGACTTATAAAAAAAATAGTTTCATATATAAAATGACCAAACTACCACTAATTAAATATTTGTGAAATGTGTTAAGAAAGTGATTATGTAATTGGATTACTTACTTAGTACCACATTCTAATGCACCTAATTTTTGAATACCAGATGAGAGAAGTCCTAAGAAAGGGATCCAAAGAAAATTTAAATTCTCATTTCTAATTCATAGTCCCTTGGTTGTTTGGTTAATCTCAAAATTCAGGAAAAGAAGAAAAAACTAAAGGTTATATTTTCAATTTTTATTTTATAATTAATTGTGTTGTTCAACAATTTTGAACAATTTTGGATCTAATTGTATTGTTCTTGTCTGGGTGAGCTTTGATTTTGATGGCCGTTTGATAAATTTAGTCTTTTGAACCGATTTTTGTTTGTGTAAGAAAATCAATCAAAATTCAAAGTGATATATATATATATAAAAGAATATAGTTAATGAGAGAAGAAGAAGGAGAGAGATAAAGAGGGTCTATTTCAGAATTGTTTCTTTTTTTTAAACATATTACTTGGTGAGTTTGATGGTGTGTATCAGTGTATAAGTTCTTTTCTGCGCCTCTAAATTTTTCTTTTTGGCTCCTGGTTGCTTTTATATGTTTATTTGGGTGTGTTTGATATGGTCTGGATACTACTAAATTGCACCCCCACGAATTGCAAATCAACAAATAAAATGCTAAAGACTTCATATATAAATATATATGTACATACATTATATATATATATATGAAATTACAAATGATATCTCCAACTTGAAAAGGTGGACGTGGAGAACACTTTATATATATATATAGAGAGAGAGAGAGAGAGAGAGAGAGAGATTGGACTTGGAAGGTGGGTGTGGTGAAGAAGGTGGAAGTGTTGATCAGAGACAGAGAGATAATTATTAGGGGTATTTTAGTCCTTTTAAAGTTATGATGTATTGGATTAAAGTATACTACTATAAATGGGGATAAAATGTCTATCCACACTTTTTTAATGGTGTTAAAGATGGAAAAATAATTTGAAAAGTGAGTGTGAGTAATTTTTGAAAAGTGTCTTATTTGTCAAATTTTAAAAGAGTGTCAATAAAATTAACTTTTATATTAAATATCCTCTCATCAGTTTTGGATGTTTCGTAACAAAATATTCATACCCTAAAAAGTTAGTGTTTCTTGTACGTCTATGTGTGTTATTTTTTCTTTAAACTAAACAATTTTTAGCATTTAAATCATGTGAATGAATGCTAGAGTGAATAAATTAGTAAGCTTAATTAATCTGAGGAGAGTAATAAATTATGAAACGTATGCACGAGTCAGCAGCACGACAACATAATACACTGTGAATTTGATTTGAAATTCAGTGTGGACCCCCTCTTTGCTCTCTATTAATGGAAATTTTGTAAAATTCAATAGTTAACAAAAATGGGTAAGATGCACGAAAGATTATGACATGTATTTGTATATGACCTCTTTCATATTCACTAATAGATAATCGATCAAATTTAATATACTTTAATAAAAAGATCCGTTCTATTTTCAAATCTCTTAGGCTAAGAAAAATAAATTTTAATATATAAATTTAAGAAAATAATATTTGTATCGATTATTTAAGCTCAAAACTTAAGTCGATAGTGATGTATCACTGCACTTAGAAAGATAAAATTTAAAGAATAAAATTATCCTTACATAATCTCAATTAATAAAGAATCTCAATTAATAGTAATATGTTTCTTTATCCATCTCCATCCCGTAGTCAAATCATTCTTTATTTTCTTTTTCCACCCTTTTCTCCATTCCCGATCAAGATATACAAATATATCACTTTAGAGTACTTGGTTTTCTTTCCTTTTATCTCCGCATCACCACTATAGCCGTCACCATACAGACACTTTTCTTTCCTTTTTTTAATTTTTTTTTGGAATTATGATGAAAATTTTAAAAACTTATTTATTTATTTATTTATTATTATTTTTTTTTTTACGTTTTGCAAAAATTTGTGTATTCTTAAACATCGATATATATATAAAGGAGAGGGTCAGTGTTAGGGGTGGCAAAGTTTGACACGATCCGCCAATACGATTCGAACATGACACGAGTTAAACGAGTTTGTATTGACATTAAACGAGTTTGGGTCGTAAACAGGTTAATACGATTAACCCGTTTAATTAATCGTGTCATATTTGGGTTGAGGGGTTCAACCTGTTTAATGATACGTGTCATAAACAAATTTCTATTTAAGTTCTAAAATAACTATCTAAACTTGTATCTTATAATTTATTATTTGGTAGATTAGAGATTATTTAATAATTTGGTTGAATTAAAATTTATATTTTTCTAGTATTTAATGTTTGATAGAGTATCATAAATAATTTAAATAATAAAATATTTAATTTTATTAAACAGGTCATTAAACGAGTTACACGTATAACCCGTTTAATAAATAAGTTAGATTAGTGTTGAGGGTTCTTGACATGATTATTAAATTGGTCGTGTTCGTATTGAGCTATTTAGTAGAATACCTTTACATCGACACGACACGATTACGACCCGCGAACACGAATTATCACCCTTAGTCACTGTAGGAATGACAACAGGGGCGGGTTTGGGCTGGTGTACCCTCCCCCGCTCCCATAACTGTTTAAAAATCCCGCCTCTTTCCCTACCCAAAACCGCAAAACAGGGGGACTTTCCATCCCATCCCTGCAACTATTTAACATTTTTAGTTCTGCGGGTACCCGTCCCGTCCCATCCCGTTTAAGACCATAATTTATTTATTATTGAAATAAATTGCTTTTTTTTCCTTCATCTTTAGTTATTCACCATTGTAACTTTCATTCTAATCAAATTCATTTGTTATTTTAATATTGTTATATAGGGTACTTAATATATATACTGAAAAATATATATACTAATGAAATAAGGGTATTTAAGTAATTTGTCTATTTAAACGGGGCGGGGCGACTTCCCCCAGCCCCCGCACCAAACCCGTGCGAGTTTTTATTATATCAAATCATCCCCATCCAAATAAGATAAATGATCCCCCAAAACAAACAAAAACGGGATTAGGCGGGTAATTGCGGGAATGAGTCAAATTGACATCCCTAAGAGGGTGTTAGGAAATCAGTACCTTCTAATACTAATTGGTACTGATTTGCTAACAGAGGGAGAGTGTTTTTATAAAATTTAAAAAACAAAATGATGGCGATTGAATTGCGTATTATTAACACCCCATTTTTCCCTACAAAATTTATTACAAAAACCTACCAAGGATCGCAATCTTATTCTTTTTAATATATTCACACTAGTAAAAAAATTTACTAGTTTAGCCAAATTAGAAAAATAATAAGAAAATTCGATTAGCTAGATTATAAAATACATGTCACTATTGAGTCCAGAAAAGTCCCAAAAATCTTGGGGTGCACCTAAAGTTTTGTTCGTAATCGAACTCGTAGGGCTCAATTAAGAAAAGGGGCGAATTCATAAATTTGTACCGTTAACTCGTTCAAATCTAATTAAAACTTAAGAAAAATGATATAATTGGATTAATAAATGGACTCCACCATTATCTCCGGAGTGGGTTTATGTGAATTAATAAATGAAAAATAAAATAATACTATAATAAAAAAAATAATAATAATAATAATAAAATAGAGTAATAATGTTGTTGTTGGTTAATATTCTGGCATACAACTAAAGTAGTTGCAAAGTTTTACAAATGATCTTTGCAGTTTATATATTATATAATAAGATAAAATAAAAATAAGATGAAGGAAAATAATGCCCAGGCCTTTTACTAATTTCCATTTCACCAA